TCAGATAAAGGCAGCGCCAGAGTTTAGAGCGGTCGACTGAGTCGAAAGCCGCTTTCAGATCTTGTGTGTGCGTACAAGTCACGAATCAGGTATGACGAATATTGAAGCTGTTTACAACTCACTTCGCTTACGTTGAACAGAACCAACATTAGGACTTATCACACAATACACCTCCATTTGAGTGTATATCGAAGTCGATGATTTTTCTTCTCTTGTGGTGGAAATCCAATAGTATACTTCTTTGCACGTTCTTCGCCGAGAAAAATACACAACTTAGCCCCTCATACTGTCGAGAAACCATTTTTAGATGAGGCATACCGTAGCCGAAACTAGACGGTTCCAGTTTTCGTTTGGTAAAATGGTAGATCTTTTTGTTTCACGAGTCGGTTGCAAAGCTTATGCATGATCGGCAATGACTGAACCTCAAAAATATAAGTGCGAACTAATGACTATTTGGTCTATATTTGTTTCCTATTGAAACAAAGTGACCTTGATTGATCGCTTCTAAGCGGCTCTTTGCGTTGAAAATTATTGTGTGTTTGCATACGCCGACTATGATCTGGCAGTCATTATTAGAATAACATTTTATTCGCTTCAAGTTTCAGGGCTGCGATTGCGGGGGTCCGTTTTCCATCGTTTTCTGATCGCATAAATCAACAGTGGTTAGGCGTTCGGTTAGTACACAGACTACCACTCTGCGCCCCCGTCCCAACTCGGACGCTCAAATGAAAAAAAAACAGATTGCATCACTGTACATCTGTGTAAACGCGTGACATAGTGTGGAGCGTATCACACCGGATATGACAATTCGGCACTTTTCCATTGCACGAATTCTCAGGGACGCCGTCGTGCGTAGGAATTTCTCTGATATGTTTATTGATATGCATTGCACTTTCTGAGTAGTAAACTTTCACTAGTTCAAAGTGAACTTTCGCGCACATATATAGATATATATATATATATATATATATATAAACTAGTGTTGCGCCCGCGATTACATGGCTTGTGCTGTGGATGACAAAACAGAACTAGACAAGGACAATCAGACGCGGGTCAACAGCCCACGTCCTCGTCTCATTCTGTTCACCAGACTTGGTTCGGTTCGCACTGATCCACTTATCTTAGTGTCACCGGTAAATATTCACCCAGGTCTTTGATACGTTGACGGAACACAATACTCACTAATCTGTATTCGACCTTATTAGACTTACTGTCAAAGAACATAATGGACAGACTATTGCCTATCTGTAGAACCCCAATTCCCGGGCAGAATAATTCAACCCAGTTCAGTTGATCACGAGGACTGATGAGAACTCGGTGTAGTTTCAACTGGCAACAAATCAGCTGCATGGCCACGAATCTACACTACTGATTCGCACACATACGCAAGACCATGGGAGAGCGTGTATCTTTTACTTGTTAGGTTATTGCATGGTATTTGAAGAAGCATGACTATAGTCCGCAGACTGGTGTTATACCTTTTCCCGTTTCCTTTGATCTCACTCCACGCTTTCTGAAAGGAAGTAGGCGCGTTTTACTCAATTTCTCCTGCATACGTTGACATCTACTGCGAGCAATCAAAGGAAAGGTGACAATCTATCACTACCCTCAAGGTGATGAATAAAGCTATCCAACGGCGCTTGACTAATCCTCGCTTTCCCTTCCTCCATACAGTAAAATTTCACTCAATAAAATGAGGGGCAGCACAACTGGTAAAGTTTCATTTGTTCGAGCCATAAGTAGTCGGCTAAGTTCATCCGTATTCAATAGATTTTATTTCGGAAAGACGCTGTGCCCCTTAAGAACCCTCCCTCGGTAGATTATCGATTCATGTACGAGATTTACACGGATGGGTCTGCTCGGTCAAAATTCGTACACGACACATGTCGTCCATCAATCGATCAAGGCACACAAATCGCAGACCTTGTCCAAAATTTCAACCCAACCTCCTGTTGACTAGCCTTTTCCCCACAGATTGTTTTGACTGTGGGGATAGAGGAAGTGTTCAGGGGTGACTTGCAATACACCGCCGTTTCTTTTCTAGCGAAGAATTGTCAGGCTAGGAAAAACCACTTTACCCTAGACCTACAGGTAGTATGGTGGTCGGTCTTCCTTATTCGACAGGCACTCTCTAATATGGACCCTACTCATTATGCTGCTGTCCCAAACCGTTCCTATTTTGCTGCTCACTAAAACAACCAAATGGTCATTGTAACCATTTTATTTGTCAAATTTTCGTAACTCCTTTCAGTTGGGCCTTTAAGTTACCCTTCTTCGTGACTTTCCTTAAACCGATGCGTGTTTATCTCTTCAAAATTCGAGTTGTAGCAGTTCGTTAGTATTTGACTTATAAACAACAACATCGTTCAACATCCGAATACAGCCAAATAGTCAGTTTGACCGATTTCTTTGTTTTCGCCGATACTCCATGAAATTAATCAATACACTTGCCGTAGGCAGTGAGGATGGACACGAGAACCGTCATTGTAAGCCAAGCCCTTCGTGACTTGTGCGCACATCACATGATGCTACAACGCTATTCACGTGACGGTTAACTGCATCGCTCACTCCGCCCCGGTCACATCAGTTGTGGTAAACCTTGGTGGTTTCCTTCAATATCCTAGAAACCACAACCAGTTTTACCTTAGTTGTGGCTTACCGCGGTTTCACTCTAAGAAGTCAATAGACGTGCGTTCTTGGAACACCTCGCCCATCCTCGTTTCGTGTGAATCATCTTGCGCGTTTTTGTCGGACACCTGCACAATACTGTTTCTCGTAACGGTATTTCTTGCAATCGGAAAATTGCTTGTATGCGACTCNTTGAGGAACGCGATCTGCGACGAGTACTGTGACGAAACGCAACCACACAAAGCAAGTATCCATTGAATCATCCGCCTATAGCTGACGTAGATAGAAGCTGGAAAAGACTAAGTATTGGCTAATCAAATTTGTGCGTCGGACGAACTCCTAGGTCGAATATTTTCGGTTGTTATCAACAAATCCGTTTTGCATGCTACTAAAGACTATTCCGAACGATAAGAAATAGCTACTTTGGGAACCGCAAGAACCAACTGTATCGATCATTAGGGTTGAAAGATCAATCCACGGAACCGTAGATTAGCTTTCCACTGGAATTGCTCCAAAACGCATCTGCTTGTGCATTATTAGGTTAAAAACAATCAAGAAAGTAACCCACCATGGTTTTGTGGTGTAGCTTCATAGTTGTTCCAGCTCTTCTGGTGGTGGCCTAACCCGGTTTCCTCGCTGTAGTGAAAAACGGGAAAATTTCAACTTTGTTTTATCCTAATTGAATACCTCAGTTCTGAACGTGTTAAACACAGTTACTGAAATAAGAGTCCATTTTTGTCGACACTTGGAACCACATATTCTTGATAACACGTACTGTTTACGATACAGTTTGATGTTCCAGAGACCATTCGTATCATCGTGGCTTCTCTATTCCGTGTATGTAATTAACGCCGCGACTGCTCATTATAGCCATTATAAGACTTACCTGATGTTGGTCGGTTGATTTTCTCGGTATGCAGACGGGTGATGGTTGATTGTTGACAGATAGGATAGACAGCTGAACTATTGCGTCATTCAAACAAATGTGGCTAATTAATTCACTCCGGACAAGATGATCCTACCACTGGTTCCATAAATGTATTCAGGGGTAAGCTTTTTCCTTCTCGGATTTTGTGGACATAATACCTATGGTTATCGTCGAATCGGTATGCCGAAATCCTCAACAACTACCTACGGTAACAGAAATAGCAAATCGATAAATTCCACTGTGATCCAGAGGGACTGAATGAATTTTTCACGCGAGCTTAATGTCCTTTCACCATTCACCTGCGTTTGGCGGTGAATTCTGACTGTACTCCCAAATCGTCTAGTCCCTGACTGTGGAATGTGTTCAAGAATCGAACTTCAGATTGTCGCTTAGTTCATTACCACATCAGTCGCAATTTTATTTTCCCTTATCTTAGCTAATCGGTTCTCGTGTTTGGTGAGAAGTATCCTGGGTTTTAGGTAATAGGACCAATCGTAGAACAGCTCACCTTTCGCTGATGACTGGTAAATTAAATAGCCTAAACGTTTCAGTCCTGGAATGACATCCGACCGGCTTTGTCAGTCAAGTGTGCCGAGGCCAGCAAATTTTGGTAAGTTCTGTTGTCACGCTGATCAGTATAAAACACTCATCAACCTTGAAGCTAAAGCTGTAGCTATCTGACCATCCATCCTTTCATCTTGAGGATTCTGTAGGTATAAAAATTCCTACTAGAAACCATCGGAGCAAGATTCTTCGCATTATATTTGTTTGTTATCATAATCATAAAAATATAACACATGAGAAAACGGTCAAAATAATGCCCTTCAGCTTGGACCTTTTAGAACACTAAGCGCGTACACAGTGTCTGGTGTCCGGAAAAGTCAAGTGGGTTCACCCAAGTATAACTTTGTTATTCTTCTTTTCCGGGTATGGACTAACAAATTAACGGTCTACCACTTGCGAACGTGCGTCAGCTTGCATTTGTATCTGTCAGTTGAGATAGACAGGTCTTTTCCAGGTGTCTGTGTGGCGCGTGTGCTTCTGACGCGATATGGCCACAAGAGGCGAAAGTAGTAGAAAAGTGCGTTTAATAACCTTGCCGACCGAGTTAGACACGAAACCATCTAGAATACTCAGACCAGAAAAAAACATGCAGTTCGGACATCCCGCAGCTTGCGAATCAACCTCGTTCCAAACAGCCCATTATTCAACATCGTTTTGCGTGGCACTCTATCATATTCCGATTAAAATTCGTAAGCGTGTGGATAAAGTAGTTCACATATTTTCTTATCCCAGCATTTTTAGTAACGCAAATCGCTGTTCCGGTTCCTTTTGTGTCTGTAATTCCCCTAATGCTTAAGTGGATGATTAGGGCTTAGGTTAGGAGTGTATTAAGCCAGAGAGAAAACGAGAGGCAAATACGTCGCATCCTGGTCTACCTTAGAATCTACTTTTAATGGATAACACGTGACTTTTAAATACTTCGAATTATTGTTGTGAAGTGGATAGTGTTTGAGACTGGGACAAAATATGCATTCAACCAAGCTCATACAACAACCTTGAGGGGGGGGGGAAATGATGCGAGTTACCTAAATTTTCGATGGCATCTTGCAGTATACGTCTGACCGCTCGTACTGTTTGCTAGTTGTACTCTGTTTGTATATACTGTATATGTATATATAATAGGTCTTTATGGAAAAATCGTTTTCATTTCAATCCGCGGTCGACGATCATACGTTTCTTTGTCATATTTCCGTGCTACTACCCATGTTTACTCTTCAGGCTATCGTGATGACCGACGGTGAACGTATTCTCGGTTTGGGAGATCTTGGCGCTTATGGTATGGGCATCCCGATCGGAAAACTATCCCTGTACACCGCTTTGGCCGGTGTGCACCCTAAACATTGCCTGCCGATTCTGTTAGATGTGGGAACGAATAATACTACTCTACTGAATGTGAGTTCCTACTTGCTTTCTACCCCAGTTGTAATATGGCACCGTTAATGTATTTGCGCAAGTACTGTATATATATATATATA